ATCCTGCCTTTACTATTAGATCTCACTTACCTAAAGGAAGAATTCGCAATGTTCGCGAAATCACAGAAAATCAAAGGTTTTGGGGTATAATGTTCCCGAACTATGGCACAGGCTTAGCTATGTCTGAAATAAAGAAAGTTGCAGAATCCCTTGTGACAATAGCTAATGCTACTGCCATTGGTTTTTGTGAAATAAGTAAAGAAATGAAAGAAATGAGACAAATGACTCTACAAAACAGACTCGCCTTAGATTATATATTAGCTAGAAAAGGAGGTGTGTGTGCTTTAATAAAATCAGAATGCTGTGTTTATATACCAGATGCTTCTAGTGCTATTGAAAACCAGGCTGAAATTATTGAGAAAGAAGCTGCTAAACTACACCAAACTGATCAATGGAGTCTTTGGGACTGGTTTGGCAGACTTGGGACCAAATTATTTTATATCGCAATCATGGTCCTCAGGTTTATTTTATTTCTACAAGTACTGCTTTTGTTGCTACACAATTGTAACCTTAGTGCATCCCACAAAAGACGCAACAGATATGTCTAACATGATGCTGGGTCAATTGAGATTAGTCTCACAGTTGTTCCGAAGAGAGCACTAAGAGATACTCTACCTAAGAACAAGTTTCACTGTGCCTCGAAGGATGCATAAGTCAGACTGTTCTCCCATTAGCTCACTTGCAGTCTGTTGCCCAACACACAGTTACAAAATTTTATCGGTTGTACTATAAGTACAAAAGGGGGGAATGTGGAAGGAGAAAACCCCAGGCCTTAATTTCTACTAACTTCTTGAGTTAGTGCACTATTTGCTAATGATTGCTTTTTCCCTGCCTATTTTGCAATCTGCTCTTTCTCCCGCCCTTTTTCCCTTGTTGAGCTGAGTAGACCTATGAGGTCAATAGGTCAAACCACAGCCTATGCCCTCTTGCAACTTTCTGGTTCAAACAAGTTTTTCTTTGACTTGTTGTATCCTTGTGTCATGTGACCTGAATTGAACATATAAAAGGCTTGCTTCAATTGTCTGTTGGGGGGGGGGCCTGCAGAACTGATAAGAGTTCTGTCTGTCCAGTGCTCTCCCCAGCAGCTGCTTGTAAATAAAGGTCTCTGGCAACTTTGTGACCAAACAATAGAGTGAAGCCTGTTTCTTCCACAACAGCAACCAGCTATAAAGTTAGTACATATTTTCAAGGTCTAACTTTATAGCTGGTTGGAGCTTTTATTGGTGTGATAGCTATTTTGCACATGCAGCTTGTCTTAAGGTAATTGCACAAAACCTGTAACATATAGAGGGGGCCTATATCACAAAATCTAACAGCAAATCCTTCAACTGTGCAGGGAGTTAAAGGAGATGATGCCAAAGATTCCTTCCAGTCCTAGGCTTCCTACAATGACGTTTTCTGTGTTGTTCTGGCTGGAAAGCACTTCTTATTTCATTTGGTCAGGATGAGCTCCTGGAAAATTCAGTGGAGAGATTTCAACAAAGGCAAAATCCATCAGTGCATGGAAGAATAACAATCCTTTAAAATGCACTTACCTGAAGCATCTATACTGAAATGTACAGTTCCCTCATTTTGGTGGGTCTTTCTGGATGTCCTCCCAAATACTGAATGAGTTTTTCAATATACTTTGCCAGTCTGTTATGCATCTCATCATCCAGATCATTAACAAAATGTCTCACTCCCCCATCACCTTTAGGGATGTTTGGAGCAGAGATTAAACTCTACTAAATATTTTGACTCTATATCAATCCCTGATTAAGCAGACTATTAAACTCTCTGTGCTCCGATTTGGCTATTTATTCCTGGTTTGTCTAATGCCTTTTTAGTTTTAATCTAGAAAGGCAAAGGATCATGCACAAAGCAATCTAGTCCAGAATGGCCTATTTATCTAGGAAAGCTGCCTGAGTTTAGATTTTTGTCCAAAAACAAATCTAAAGTGACAGAATATATATAGCCACTGTTTGACTTCTTTCATCAAAGAAAATACCTTTGCAAGTTAAGGCAAATCTTCGATAAGGTTTTCTGGTTTGCTTATCTCTCATCTCCCAAAATAGCTTAGCCATTATGACTCCAGGCTGATTTGTAAACAAGGCTGGTGTTCTGCACGCTCTTGAAAATGCAGCATCTGAGAAAGCAAGCCTCTTACCATGCTCTCCTGCGAAGGCAGTGAGAGACTCTTACAAGCAGATATTTGTTCTTGAATGTTTTATGTTGCCTGAAGTACAAAAACAGGCAGCTCCCTACATTTTGCAATAAGATGGTTACTGTATCTGTGAGGGGTGAAAAATCAGTACATACAGTCAGGCTTGTAATTCTGAGGGACTGTTAGAGGCTTTTTGAAGATACATACTGTATCTGTATATGAACTTGTTTTCTTGTATTTCAGGGACTATTTAAAACATTTTTTTCTAAACTAGCATGTAACATTTTGTATTGTACAGATGGACTAATTATATTCTGGCACATGATCTATTTTCCTTGACCCTCATTAGTGCAGTGCACATTTCATGATCATTAATGTAATTCTCCTCACAACACACCTGTGAGGTATTATTATTCCTCTGTTACAGATGAGAAACTGGAACAGAGCAAGGAACATTAAGTGACAGAGGCAAACCACAGAAATGAAGCTGGATTGCCAGAGTCCCATGCTTATTGCTCTAACTACTACACCATTATTCCTTTCTACTGATACTCATCTGAGGGAGACAGGCATCATCTTTGTTTTACAAACTGAAAAGGCTGAGACAGAATCAGAGTCATTTGTGTAAAACCCCACAGTGAGTAAGTGACAGCACCAAGAGTTGAACTTGGGACTGCCCCACTCCAGAGCTTCCACTCATTTTTCTGGCTCGCACAGACTTGCAAGGGTTCCCAATCTTCTTCAGATCAGAGACTGCTTCTTAAGAAAGCTCATGTTACAGCCAGCCTCACTTTTGTTTTCCTCCCTTTCCTGGGGTCATCCATTTCCTGTTTGGTTACAAATGAGGACAGATTTAAGATAAAACTCTTTTTGATCCCCCAGTTGTAGCTGCTTGGCCAGCTCTCTTTTATTCTTTATTTCCTCTCCCTATGGAGTTCTCAAATGCTCTAATCTCCAGTGTCACTTTGCAGTGTGGTTCTGTTCTCTTGATGATTGTTGCGCCTCTAATTTTGGTACCATCAGCAACTTGGATGACAGTTGAATTTACATCAAAGAAGCAACAGAGAGAGTCTTTGTGACAATTTTTTGATTCCTCTGCAGCTACCTAAATAGGCCTGGCTACAAAAAGAAGTCTCTTGTAGGAATACAAGGGAGCTCCCTGCAATTCACTCATGTTCAGCTGTGCTTCACCAGGTACAAACCACCTGAAACTATAATGCTGTGTGAATCACCAAACACCACAGATTGGAACCAGTTGTTTTAAATCTTTGGACTGAGAAGAGTCTGTTATGGAGAGTCATAGTTAAGAGAGAAGTCAGGCCTCCATACATCTGAGGCTGAGGCAGGATGATCTCCATCCAAACCATCCCATATAACCATAGTATAAACTCTACATAAGACTGCCCTCAACCGTGACACAGCATAGACCTAACACCCTACCCACCCACAGGTAAAGCAGGAACCACGGAAGCCAATGTCTTGCTTCTATAAAATGTTGTCAGTATATACTCAAGAGGTCCTGGGTAGTGGGCCATGTCCCCCTGCTACAGAGGAAGGCAACCCCCCCGCCCCCACTGCCGCAGTCCATGCCAATCTCACCATGGGGTAAAATTCCTTCCTGACCCCAAATATGGTGATGGAGGGGCAAGACCCTCTAGCCAGGAATCTCCAGCTTTGTTCCTAGCAGGATAATAGGCATGCCCAGTTGAAGTCTCCAGCCTTAGCTGTAGCCAATACCCAATGTCTCTGGGGAAGCTTAAAAACACCCTGACAGGTATAGCAGGAGAAAAAAAGGCGTGGGGGGAAGGAACAATCAACAATGCCCAGAACCATGAGAAATACCCATAGTAGAAAATAGATCATAGCTGTAGCTAGATCATCCCCAATCAGGGGCTGTCCAACCTCTTCTTGAACCTCCTGTGATGGAGAGTCCACAATTTCTCTAGGCAGTCTATTTCACTGCCTCACCTGTTCTTACAGAGAATAAGTTTTTCTGGATTACCAATATTAAATTTACTTTGCTGCAGCTTCAAACCATTAATCTGCATCCTCCTCTCTGTATCAAGAAGGAAAAGGTGCTTTCCCTCTTCTTTATGGCAGCCCTTCAAGTAGTTGAAGACAGCTATCATATCTCCTCTTAAACACCTTTTCTGCAAGTTGAACATACCTAGCTCTTTCAGCCTCTCCTCCGATGACTTGCCTTCCAAGTCTTTGATCATTGTTGTTGCTGGCCTCTGGATGCTCCCTAACTTCTCCATGTCCTTTTCAAAACATTCCATACATTTACATTTGTATAGCGCCTTTTATCTGCAAATGTCATTACATCAGAAATGTAAAAGTTAATACCCAAAGGGACTCACTTTAATCACAAATGGCATAGAGCCACTTGGGGAGCAGAACATGGCAGATGTTTAACAGTTCTAACTCTTACAAGGAAGATATGTAACATGAGCTCTAATCTAATGATTGCAAGTAATCAAGACCTCAGATTTACCATGTTTTTCATCTCAACAACAGACCCAATCACATCATGTCAAGGTAAAGGTATTAATTCACAGGCAAAGGTTTTCACAGTGTATGAGTAGACGTGTAAATTGCAGCAAGTTTACTTTTTTTGTCATCTCATTATCAACCCAAACAACTGGGCACCATTTATCACTTACAATTGGATTGATTGAGGGCAGCCTTTAGGACAACTCCAAAGCAGGGCACAAGCTCACAGCTTTGGAAATGTATTGCTGCGCCCCTGCCGCCCCCC